GACCCTTCTTCTGAAACGTCAGCTTTCCTGCTCCTCTGATGCTGCTTGGCCTGCTGCGTTCATCCAGCTCTACACCTTGTTATCTCAGATTCTCCAGCATTGGCAGTTCCTACTATCTCTGGCAAAATCAATGCTTTTTTTCTGGCTATAGCATTTTTAAAATTTGTTCGCGGAAGTAGTTGATGCTGGCTAGGCCATGTTTGAGATTTGACCCTGGCTTCCCTTGGAAGATGTTAGTAAGTGACCATCTTTTAATTGCTGTCGTCCTCATGAAGATGCTTCATGATTAGGTATTGAGTTCTTAGATTTTTGATCCAAAGGTAAATGGCAATTACATGTTCTTTTCAGAATTGTAGGAAACCCGCAGAGGGACTTGATTTTTCTATAATTAGTTAGAAGTTTAGATATAACTACATCTGCACCCTTCAGAATTCAGGCTGTGAATATTTATATTCATGAGTAAGCATTCTTGGAGAAGACCACATGATTTTGTATTGTAACTGAAGAGTTTGAACGAAAACTGGTGGGTCACCTCTGTATAAAAATGCAGCAAACTTTATGACTGGTAACAAGTGAATATTACTACTTTATCAAAAGTGAAAAAATATCCTTTTGATTTGAGTTAAAAACTGAGAGATTTAGAACGGCAGTTTAAATTGAAATAACTTTTCAATTCAGGGCTTCAAGTTGTTGATGTCTCCTGTTCTTTAAAATCTGTTTCTGAAGAGAAGGAAAATCTGCAAGAAAGGGAGAGAAGAGAAAATGTGTTGTGCAAGGTGCTTCAGCTGGTTGTCAAATTCATTGATTTCTTTTTTTAAAAAACTGTTTCATTCTTAATTTTTTTTCCACTTTTTTTAAAGTGTATTTGAGCTGGGTACAGTCTGTACTTCACACTTGTAGGCCCAAAAAAAATCTACTCAAGTTACAATCTATATGTAGTTTTATGATTTATGTTAACTATGGCTTCTCTAATAGCTTCTGTTGAAAATATCTGCATAAAGTACTGCGCAACAAAGTATAGAGAAACCATACTAATTTTAGATTACATTATCTTTGCAGCAGTACTTGCACAATGGGCTTGGTTCTTCCCTTATGGAGTGACACATTAATCCATTTGGATGGCGATGGGTAAGTACATGAGGTGCCTAACATCTAATCTCAACTAGTGAAGCCTTGAAAATCCAGTACCAAGTGCCAAGTAGTAAGATTCTTTCGGTTCCACGATACTGTCTTCAAGACAGCGCAAAGGAAAGGCATTTGAACTGCTAGAATATAAGCAGTCTATCGAGAATAAGTTGACAAAGAAATAGCAGTGAGAATTCTTGCCCAATCCAGCCACTTTTGTTTGAAGTTTGTTTAAGTGTGTTTTGACTTATGTTTTAATGCTAAGGTGCTTCAAATCTGTTTGTGCTGTCTGCTATATTTTACCTGAAAAGATGTTCCATTGTGGCAAGGTGGCTCAGTGGTTAGCACAGCAGCCTCACCGCGCAAGGGTTCAATTCCATCCTCTGGTGACTGTCTGTGTGGAGTTTGTACGTTTCCTCCCACAGTCCAAAGATGTGCAAGTTAGATGAATTGGCCATGCTAAATTGCCCATAAGTGTCCAGGGATGTGCAGGCTAGATGGATTAGCCATGGGAAATGCAGGATTACAGGGATAGTGTAGGGGGATGGGTCTGAGTAAGATGTTCTTCGGAGAGTCGGCGTGGACCTGGCAAACCGGATGGCCTGTTTGCATACCGTAGGAATTCTATGATTCTGTGATTATGACAGGTATGAGAAGCAACAAGGAAACCCAGATATCCTTTCTTTAGCCAAGATGGTTAGATTTTAAAAAAAGGTTTGGGATGGAAGGAATTAATTTTCACCACAGTTAAAAGATGTGGTAATTCCAGGCTTTAATTATTTAGAGTTAACTTTCTGAACTCTTGTACGTTTATTTCTATTTCATACCAAGATTGTTTATTTAATGAAAACCCTTGGTCAGAGCAAACTTTGGAGTGCTGTGAACAGTTCTGCTATTGCAGTATACGAAACAAGGTAAATTAGCTTGTAACGCAGATTGAAATTGGAGGGTTATGGGTATCACAGAGATGTGCTTGTAAGGGGATCAGGGCTGAATATCCAAGGACAGGCAGAAGGGACAGGGTTGCCTTGCTAATTAGAAATGAAATTAAATCAAAAGCAAGAAGAAGAATCTGTGTGGGTAGATTTGAGGTATCTAGCAGTAGTCAGGATATGGGGAAGAAAATAAATCGGGAGGTGGAAAAGGCGTATAAGAAAAGCGCTATTACAGTAATCATGGGGGACTTCAATATGCAGATGCCCTTGGAAAATCAGGTTGGTCGTAAATTCCAAGAAAAGGAATTTGTGGAATGTCCGCAAAACTTTTTTGGATCAGCTTGTGATAGAGCCACCTACAGAACTGGCAATTCTGAATTCGGTCGCGTGTAATGAGGCAGACTTGATCAAAGAGCTCAAGATGAAGGAACCCTGAAGGGGCAGTGACGTTAATAAGATAGAATCCATCCTTAATTTGAGAGGGAGAAGCTGGAATACGACGTAATGGTGTTACAATTCAGTAAAGGTGACTATAAAGCTATGAGGGAGCCTAGCAGGGAAGACATTGGAGCTGCAGGAGTTTCTAGGGTTGATTTGGGAGATAAGGAGAAAATCATCCCAAAGAGGAAGAAATATACTAAGGGGAGGACAGGGCAACCACTGGCAGAGAAGGAAAGGGACAGCATGAAAGCAAAAGAAAAAGCAAACAAGGTGGTGAAGATTATTGGAAAGCCAGAGGATTGGAAAGCCTTTTAAAAACCAGCAGAGAATAACTAAAAAAGCAATAAGGAGGGAGAAGATGAAATACAAGGGTAAGCTAGCTAGTAATATAAAAGGAGATTGCAGTAGTTCTTTTTTGGGATATCTAAAAAGTAATAGAGAGGCAAGAGTGGACATTGGATGGCTGGAAAATGAGGCTGGAGAAGTAGTAATGGGGAACAAATAAATGGCGGAGGAACTGAATAGCTACTTTGCATGAGTTTTCACAATGGAAGACACCAGCATACCAGAATTTTGAGAGTCAGGGTCGGGGGATGGTTGGTGGGGGTGCAGAGGTATGCATAGTGGCCATCACTTAGGTGCTGGGGAAGCTGTAAGGTCTGAAGGTGGATAAATCGCCTAGACCAGAAGGATTATACCCCAGAGTTCTGAAGGAAATAGTTGAGATTGTAGAGGCATTGATGATCTTTCAGGAATTACCGGAGTCAGGGAGTGTCCCAGAGCACTCAAATGGTTAATGTAACACCCGAATTCATATTATAGGTCAGTTAGCCTAACCTCTTACCAATGACAGACATTAGAGTCCATTATTAAAGCTGAGATTGCGGAGTACATGGAAGTGCATGGAGGTAACGAGCAAGTTAGACAAAGGAAAGCCAATAGACATGATCCATTTGAATTTCCAGAAGGCGTTTGACAGGGTCTGGTATAGACAGCTGCTAAACAAAATAAGGGAGCCCTTAACATAAAACATGTTAAGGGCGAGGTACTGGCATGGATAAAGGATTGGCTGACTGGCAGCAGACAAAGACTGAGGGTAAAGGAGTCTTTTTCAGGATGGCAGCTAGTGACTAGTGGATTTCTGCAGTATTGAGACCGCAATTAATTACGTTATACATTTAAGGATCTGGATGAAGGAAATGAGGGCATTGTTGCTAATTTTGCAAATACCACAAATGGGTGGAGAGACTAGTAGTGTTGAGGAAGTCGGGAGGCTGTAGAAGGACTTGGACAGGCTAGGAAATTGGGCAAAGAAGTGGCAAATAGAATAGAAATGTGGGAAAATGTAAGGTTATGCTCTTTGGTAGGAAGAATAGCAGAGAAGAATATTTTCTAAATGAGGAAAGGCTTTTGAAATCTGAAGCACAAAGGGACTTGGGAGTCTTAGCTCAGGATTAGTTAACGTGCAGGTTCAGTTGGCAGTTAGGAAGGTAAATACAATGTCAGCATTCATTTCAAAAGGGCTAGAATACAAGAGCAGAGATGTACTGCTGAGGCTGTATAAGGATGTGGTCAGGCTGCATTTGGAATATTGTGAGCAGCTTTGGGCCCCGTATCCAAGGAACGATGTGCTGGCATTAGAAGGGGTCCAGAAGAGGCTTGTAAGACTGATGGCAGGCGTGAAGGGCTTGTCATATGAGCAACAGTTGAGAGCTCTGGGTCTGTGCTCGGTGAAGCTCAGAATGATGAGGGGCGATCTGATTGAAACTTACAGAATGCTGAAAGGCCTGAATAGAGTGGATGTAGAAAAGATTTTTCCACTAGTAGGAGAGACGACCCTTCAGAACTAAGACGAGGAGGAATTTCTTCAGCCTGAGGGTGGTGAATCTGTGGAACTCATTGCCACAAAAATTTGTGGAAGCCAAGTCAAGTATATTCAAGACAGAGATAGGTTCTTGATCAGTGAGGGGATCAAGGATTATGGGGAGAAGACAGGAGAATGAGGTTGAGAAACATATTTGTCATAATAGAATGGTGGAACAGACTGGATGAGCTGAATGGCCAAATTCTGCTCCTCTATCTTGTGGTCTTGTACGGCAAAAAAGATAGAGGAACTGGAAAAGATGCAAAAGAGAATTTGTGAGGGTAATGCCAGATCTGAGTGGATGTACTTAATGGAATATGCTTCAAAGGGTTAACTTTAAATTCTTTAAAATAAGCAAGTGATGTATGATAGATACATATGGAAAAGATACTTTCACTTTGTTTAAGGGTCCAAAACCCCAGGCCATAAATATTGGTGAGATTATCCTATCAATCTGATGGAGAATTCAGGAAAAGCTGCTTTAACCAATATGTTTGGTAGGAATGAAAAATTTGTTACCATAGGGAGCGTTAAGCTGAATAACACAAACACATTTAAGGACAATCTTGAGAAACACGAGAGTCAAATGAATAGAAGCATATGCTGATAGTGTTAGAGAAATAGGTATAGGAGGAGCATAAATGCAGGCATAGATCAGTTCAGCTGAGTGGTCTGTTTCTACAGTGAACTCTAATTTTGCAATTTAATGGCCGCTATTATTTTGGGATCTATATCATGTGACCAACGTTTTGTCTAATTTTCCACCAATGGAAGCCTTTTGTAGTTGTTCGTGAGCTCGCCGAGCCGGTTGTTCTATGGTGTGCAAAAGTTTTGTTACCCTTCTAGTTGGCATCGTCAGTGCAACCTCTAATCGAAGCGTTGGTGCTCTGCTTCCTTCTGGATTTATATGATCCTCTGGTGTAATGGTCATGTCGCTTCCTGTTCTGTTTTAGCAGTGGTCTGTATATGGGGTCTACAGGAGTTTGTTGATGGAGTCCTGTTTTGAGAGCCAGCTTTCCAGAAATTCACTTGCATGCCTGGTGTTTGTTTGCCCCGGTGTGGTCACTTTGTCCCAGTCGAACTGATGGCCCTCATTGTCTGTGTGTATTGAGACAAGTGAATATTGGTCATGTCCTTTTACTGCCAGCTGGTCTTTGTGTATCCTGGTCGTCAGTTTCCTCCCTGTTTGTCCAATATAATGTTTATTGTGCTCACTGTAAGGTACTCTGCATATCATGTTGTTCTTGATTACTGTCGGTATGGGGTCTTTAGTCTTTGATAGCATTTGGTGCAATGCTTTAATACATGCAGATAATGAGGACCATCAGTTCGACTGGGACAAATAAATAAATACCAGACTTGCAAGGGAATTTCTGGAAGCCTGGTTCTCAACATGGGACTCCATTAACAAACACATAGAAATAGACCCCATATACAGGCCACTGCTAAAACAAAAGAACCGGAAGTGACAAGACCATCACACCAGAGGATCATAAAAATCCAGAAGGAAGCAGAACACCAACACTTCGATTAGAGGTCACACTGATGATGTTGCCTAGAAGGGTAACGAAACATCTGCATACAACAACCGGCTTGGCGAGCTAACTAACAACTGAATCCACAACCGGAGCTACAAATTTCTGCCAAGACCTTAGGAAGCCTTTTGTGCCCCACAGTATAAGAATTGCCATAATATCATTTATGACACAAATTGCTGCCAACACAAGTTGCCAGGAGAGTTCTCAACAATAAACAACTTGGCTGCTTTGTTCTAACATTTTGCCCTGCTACCTTGGCATTTAAGCATGCATTTTCGCTTTGTGTACTCCAAATAAATGAAAAGCATTTGCTTTATCACCGTGGTAAATGCAAATTTAATTTTATTAAATTTATTTGAAAGGCCTTCCATTAACTAATTGTGCGGTTTTCCCCAAAATCTATTTTACTATTTTCTGGATGCTCTTTCTCTTATGCTCTCACTTCTTAAAAAAAATTAGCTTTCTTGGTTATACGCCATAGAAGTGTCTAGCCCTTTTGATGGTACTTGTGATAGCAGCCAAGATCTTCCTGTGTAGTGTGGGACAACACTATTTATTTATGTTAAGCTTTTGGATAACAATTTCATTTTTTTCTTCCTGTCTTCCCATCTCAAGAGGATTCAGTGTGTCAACAGTGAACAGAATTCACATCTTTAAGCCTGTGTCTGTACAAGCAATGTGGTAAGAACTTCCTGACGTTTTTTAAATTATTTGTACATTTCTTTTGTCCATTTGCAGCTTTCCTCCAGTAGCAGTTTATTAATAAAGTTTCAGCTAAATTATGGTTTTCTTCATTCTCAAATAACATGCAGTGGTTTTAGAGCACTTGCATATTTTTGTATGGCTACAGAAAGAGACAGTGTGAAGAGGTGCAGTGAAAGTGAGGAGACACTGATTATTTGGTTGAGCAAATCATGTAAACTCGTAAAGACCACATTCTTATTGTTTGTAGATTTTAGCAGTGTGCTGACTAGTTTGAAACAGTTATAGCATGTTATGTATTTTTCTCAATGCCCTTTTACAGATACCCAAACCCAGGGAAGCATCACTCCTACCTCCACTCCAGTTCCTCACTCAGCTGATGAGACTGCATGTGTTTCTTTTTGGTGACTTTCTGCACAGTTCACCACACGACATTCTGTCTTTCCCTGAAACACAAAGGGACTTAATGACATCTCCCTGACTTTCTTATTTTGAGACTGCTAAACAGTGTGGATCTCTTCTCATGAACCGAATCTGCTTGTGGCTTCTGGTCTGCTGCCTCCAGAATGTGTGACCTTTAATTGGTAAACACTTCAATTATCGCACCAGGTGGCTTGATCTTCCATTTTTCTCATGTTACATGGTTCTTTGGAAAGACTGTTTTAACCCTTTAAGAGTCACCTTCACAGTAATAAGAACCAAAAACACATTTAACTGTAGACTCCAAGTTCCCTAACAATAATGTTACAAACCTACATCACATGAGACCTGTTTTTCATATGGTATTAAGATCAAGTGTAAATATGCAGCTAAAGTGGAAATACACATGCTAAATGTGTATACCTGGCCCTGTTTTATCAGTGATGTTGATGCAGAATGACTTATAACAGAGACTTTGTGTACTTTTTATCGATGTACAACTAAATGAATGTTTTGTTATCATTGCTGGCATAAAAAAAACTTTTTTTTTTAAGTACGAGATAGTTTTTGAAAGATCCTTTTGATCTGTGACACCAACAGTGTGAATTGTTTCTTTTTTCAGGTCAGCTTTGCAAAGTTTGCATAAAGCCTGTGAGATTGCTAGGACGCACAATTACTACCCTGGGAGTCTTTATTTAACGTGGATTAGTTATTATGAGAGCCGCATTAATTCTAACCAGGCCTTCATTAATGAGTGGAACGCTATGCAGGATGTGCAGTCTCATCGCTCTGATTCACCTGTCCTGTTTACTGATGTGTATGTTTTTTTATTACTGTATTTTGTTTGAAGTCATAATCTCCTGTGAAAGCCTTTTAGTTCTGTGGAGCTAAATTAATGTGTACTTGATTCTAAGAAATCATTCAATTGAATAACAAAACAAACTTCTTAAAATAAATGGTGTACCCCTCTTACTGTATACCTGGAACATGGCAGTGGGTTTAATTTTGTTTCTTTCCAGCCAAACAAGCACAAACACAGTCAATTTCTATTTCAATTGAATTTTGTTTTTCAAACCATATTAAAGAATTTGAAAAAGCACAACTATTGTCCCTGAGTAAAATGTAGACCCTTAAATGCTTCAAAAGAGATTTTCATATTTAGGCATTTTACATCTAGTGCAGTTATTTCCTAAAGTGTTGTAGTCAAAAGGGTGGGTCTTTAGCCCTCCGAGTCTAAAGAAAATGCTTCCTCGTAATTTCAATTTTAATCTCTATAGATTACTTATGAACCTTGTTTTAGAGCTGGAATTTACACACGACACTTAGTCATTATGTACTTTCATCGAGAATAAAAGGGAAGAATGGAACAAGTTAACAGTAAAAGCTATCTTGAAATAATATTTGCATATACAATGCATAATGTCTGTCTTTCGGTAGCCCTAGTGATCGCAAATTTATGTTTGCCGTTAGTGCATCACCTGTGATTATATAGTTGATAAAATATGTGTCCGGTTGAAAAAAATTAACGCTATAACTGACAAGGTCGCCATAGCCCCAAAATCCTGTGCTACACAATTCTATTATCCAGCTTTCAAAAGTTATGTCAAGGCATTCAATATATTGCATACTTGTTAAACAGATGCAGAACATGAACACAGTCAAAGCACCATGAGTGATGATTATGGGTTAGGCCAGGGAGGGAGATTGCGTATGTTTTTTTTAACTTTTGTGACTTTTTCAGGTCTTAAGACACTTTTTAATGATCACTTTTCCTGTTTTGTTTTATGAAATCTGGTTTCAAAGAATTTATGATATCCTCACTTTCTTTTTAACAGGGACTTATTGATTTTAAATTTCAATTGTGAGGTGTAGATGAGTAAGATTTCTGCATTTAAAAGGTTTTCTTTTCTATAGCCTTCTAACCTGACTCTTTGAAATATCACTAAGAACATGCATGAATTATACTGAATCGCAATTGATGTTGTACAGGCAAAAGAACTGTCAAGAGCCAGTTTACTTAGCTGTCTAGTTCTGTTGTTGATGCTGTATATTTCTAGCATTTTCTGTTTTTTATTCTCCCTCATATTTAAGTGAGCTATTTAGTAGTAATTATCAGCCAACTAACAATGGTATATAGACGCACCAGTTGTTTTGAATTTGTTGCCTGCTCCTTTAACAGACGAGTTGTACCTGTTTTAGCATTCCCATTCCATACACCAAGTTCCTGGAGGAAATTTGGAAAGAGAAAATCTATAATAATTCTAAGAAGTATTGACAGTGTCATCCTTAAAGCAAAAATTGGTTGCCACTCTGTGGCAAAAGGTTTCCTGTCTGACAGCTGTATTTGCTGACACTTTGAACAGCACATATAAATAAAATGCAGCCATGTATATTACTATCGCTATTCATTACTCTACTTTCTTAATTTATTCGGCTTGTGAATATCCTACAGAATGGCCGTTTAAAATAATTCTGGTAAACCTGGTTAAAATAGCTGATTCGAAGACAAAATATTTAGTTGAAGTTTTTTCCTTCATTTATTCTAGATGCATTAATTTTTGTTCACACGCATTATTAGAAATAATGTGGTAAGCAATCAAGTACTTTAATTTCTTGCATCTGAATATTCGCACCCCAGTGGTTCAGAAAATAGGCTCCCAGATTAGAAATACTATTTTTGTTGATTAGGGATACTATTTTTACTAACTGTGATAAGAATTTGGGCACCACAGATAGCATGACGTGCAGACAGCATCTACATCCTTATTAGGAAGCTAAAGATGCACCCTTTCTATGGTGAACAGATGTGACACTGATAGTTGTAAATACGGATGGCTTAAAATATAAAGAGATCCCATTAAAATTAGTGTTCACTGAATGTTGCAGGAGTAAAATGTTGGAAGTATTCTGAAGATGACACAAATCAAACCTGTCAAATGTTCCAATGTTTTAGTACAGCTTGCATTAAAGAGGCATCAAGGCTCATGCTTATCTCACCCTTTCAACTACATGTATAATTAATAATTCAGAAAACTTACTTCACTATCATTTTAAGTACTAAACCATTGTCGTTGCTCTGCTTAGGAAACAGATAAGTATGCAACATCAATTTATACTTGTATTGTGTAAGAAAACATCCCATGGCACTTCACAGGAGTGAAATAATGTACTTCGACTTCAGTAACCTTTTTCCCTGACCTCAAGCCGCCAGCTGCTGAAAAGTTCATCTGTGATTTGTCATTTCCAGAATCAAAGCTTACCCTTTAGAGCTGACCTGGAATCTCCATGATTGTACTCTATATCAAGTGGCACTTGTCCATTGTCTTTGTTTAATTTGGATTAGCTCATTGTCCCCCAACACCTGGATTTCAAGATTCCTCTGTGTTTGAGTTCTTTTTATTTTGCGTTTCTACTTCCCCTTTAAAGTGATGGTGAACTGTCTGCTTGAATGCTACAGTCCATTTGGGGGATGTACACAATGCTGTTGAGAAGGGAGTTCCAGGATATTGACACAGTGGTACTGATTGCTGTGACTTTACCTTTTACTATTCCCTTTCCCTGTTCCTACCATTGACAGTCATGCTTGCATTGTCTAGGGCTCTCACTAGAATTAACTCCTCTTTGCTCATGTGCCTTTTTTTCCTCTTCAAAATCCTTTGTTTATCCAAGGTGTTGGCCACCTCTTATTACCATCTTTGGTTTGGTGTCTTTATTTCCTCTGTGACCTCATGGCTTAGGATACTCTTCTGCATAGAAGGTGCCAAGTCATAATTTTAAATGTGAAATTCAGTTAATAACTGGACCACTATGTGAGTAATTCTTACCAGTTGCATGGTAACCTAATCTATTTATCCACTTCATTCAGTTTTACCAACTTCATCAAACTTCTTGACTTCAGATTGGAAGTGCAGATTTGCTTGAAACCTCTTCAAGTTAATAAAGCCCATGAACTTTCTATAGTTTTTAAAGTCTCCATCTTTGTATTTCTTAAACCTATATACATTTTAGCATTTTAAGTAGAATTATTAGAAGGACGTTCCAAGGAGTATTTGTATTGCTGAGGTAAGGGTCATGAAGTTAGTTTGTTTTCAGCAGCAAAGCTCAATTGCTATTTTCTCAAAAACAAATGGAATTATGGATCAACTGTTAGTTGAGTTTGACCAGCAGGTATGACTTTCAATTTGAAAGCTGACTTGTTTATTGTATTTATGTTGGTTCCATCCAATAAAACAAAATAACTATTTGTGTCTCTTACAGACCAACAGAGCGAGAACTGACAGAAAGACTAATCAAGACAAAACTTCGGGAGGTAATGATGCAGATGGATTTAGAGAATGTCACATCCAAAGAGGTAGGTATACATCTTTTTTGAAGAAAATCAACAAATTCGGAGTTGGGGCTCTGAATTGTTTATTCATTGTTATTGACATTATTTTTTATCATGAAGATAAAATGGAAAAATAATTTCGGAAAAACAATCCAAATATCTTACATTTTGAGATCTATGGTGAGGTAACTTAAAAAGATGGGAACGTCTAATTTCAGAAGTTGACTGCATCTTACCTTTATAAGGACTGATACTGACACAGTATGCTTGCTTGCCTTCAGCTTGCCTATTTTTAATTGTTTGGATTCAATTTCATCTTTCAATGCAGATGTACAATTTCCAAGTAATAGCCATTGTTCTGAAATATGGATCCAGAAAAAGGGTAGTTTCAAATTTTAAATGAAATGTTGAATGAACTATCCTGTTTTGCCTGAAAAATGGGTTTGGTTGCCCAGTAAAAGTGGCAGTTTATTTGTCGTCTTATCAGTGAAGTATTTTCTGACCTTGCATTTAATGCTGATTTGTTTTCATCTTGTATGAAATTTGTCACAAAAATTAACCTGTACACTTTATTGCAGATTCGCACAGAACTGGAGAGGCAAATGGTCTGTAACTTGCGAGAATTTAAAGAGTACATTGATAATGAGATGATTGTAATCTTGAGACAGATGGACAACCCAACTGAAATATTTGAGCATGTTTACCTGGTAAGATCATTATACTACAATTGATATGTTTTCTGTTCTCTGTTTCTTTGGGTATACGTGTGACAGAAATTAATGTTAATTGCTGGGAACTAAGAAGAGTGAACTGAAAAGAAATTAAAAAAGCTTTGTCTTGAGCTGACCTAAACGGCTTTGGTTCAGCTACCCTCACCAATTGTGATAGCTTGGTTTCTTAATCAGAACATAATTAGAAGGTTAGTGTAATTCTTCACAATGCTTTTAAAGCTTAATTTTTATTCTGCATCCTGATTGTTCGTAACTATTATTATCTTTTGTGCCTCCAGTATTTTTTCTTCCACTGAGCCCCTTTGCTGCGGTAGCTTGTGAAATATTAAGAAATAAACTTATGCTCATCTAGCACTCTGCCTGTACTTTAACTTGCAGCAAGTCCTGGTCACTCATATCATCTCAGTTTGCTGGCCTGTATAGGCCTCTGGTCAGTAAACAGTCTGTTTTAAAATCACATCCTTCTTTTCAAACCCCTCTAGTTAGATCGGTCTTTCTCACCATTAGTAAAGCTACTGCATCCCCGTAGGGTTTGATTAGTTACACGACCATCATCTTGAGTCAGTAGAAGGATGCTGACGATGGCTTCATGTTCAATTTGTTTAACACTACTGTAAAGTGCCTTGGAATGTTTCACTTTATTAAATGCAAGTTGTTCTTCTGTCACTTTATGGTGTCAATGTTAGAATAATTTCGGAAAAATCCCAAGATGCGCTATTAGCAGTAGCGATAAAAGTATTACATTAGCTATGAAGTTCTTTGAGATATCTGATAAGGTACTACATGAATATATGTGTTTTTTTTCCAATGTATCAGCTGACTAACAACTTTGTTTGTCTGCATTTGTTGTGAATGTTCTAAGTTATAAAGTTCCATATAAATATATTTTCTTCATGCCTTAACTTATCTCTGCTGTGATTTATCTTCTTTGGGAGTATTTTCTTTCCGAAGTCAAGCTGACTATGTTTCCTGTACTAAAAGTTTCACAATATGAAACCAGCTGCTGCTTGCTTATGTTGAAATGCAGCCAGCTTTATAACGACAGGCAATAGTCAGCTGGCCTAAATGTCAAAGAAAATTTGTTTTACTCTGAAGACATAAACATTACATCAAAGAATCGGTACATCCATGATGTGCGACCTTACTTCGGCATGTAATTGTCAGTTCACTCAGAAAATAACCTGGAAGCAGTGTGCGCCCTTTTCTGCTTGCCTGTCCTGTGTTCTTATTATAGTATTTCCTTCCCTTTCCACACTTCCTTTGTCCCATTCACTTCCTTCATGGTGAATGAAATCACCTGTACAAGTATTATTTCGAATGGAATAGTGAATGAAAGAATAGTGAACACCTCTGCATTCGACACCGTTAATTTGTGCCTTCCCATTAAGAACTAAATTGTGTGGAAACAAATCGTGCATACTTTGCATTTTATCTGAGAAGCTGAAGAAAATGAAAAGTTCCACATTAATAATTATTACTGTTATATTATTCCTGTATATTATCATCTTCGTGCTAATTCTCCCCTGTGATATTAAACATGGTCATTAATTTCATTGTTTGGGATTTTTGATTGGAAGAAACTAGAAATGCTGTGAAATTAATAGCAATGCTGCTAATACCAAAAAAGTTGATATGCCAATTGAACCATTCAAGAATCTGATACGCTTAGGTGCAAGTTTGCTCGTAGCTTAACTTCCTTTTTGCTCTAATATTCTTGTAATGTGCATTACTTCACCTGTGAGGATGTGGAGGGAGAAACTAACCTGTGTCTATGCCTGAACTCCTTTGTTTCTGTGCTGAATGCATAGACTTTGTCTGGATTATTCTATCAGATCTCAACACTAGCTCTTATCTCTGTTTGCAGGGCTCAGAATGGAATGCATCCAATTTGGAAGATTTGCAGAGCCGAGGGTAAGACTCTCTCTAATGAAACATGCTTAGAAATTTGGCCAAACCATCAGACCTAATTGTTGATAAGCATTGCATAAAGAACAGAAAACATAGTTTGCTGAAGCACTGCATATTCGTTGCTGTTGTAATTTTCTTTTGAATATGATCATTTTGAAATATATTTAAAGTTTTTAAGGACAAATCAAAATGTCAAATGTTGATGTGACATATGAACAAATTCTTGACCTTGTACAAAAGTATTTTCCCCATTATTATTTTTGGATAATGTTTGCATATGAAAAACGTGTAATTTGATTCTTAGTAACCTTGAGCATTTCAGAGTGTACTTAGAAATATTTGACAAATCCAATGGAAAGATCTTGTAATATGTACGCTGAGGAGAGATAAAGTTTGAGGTACTTACATTTCTTTCTTCTCCCTCAATTTTGCCACCTCGCGTGACCTCACTACTCCTGATGAGTATGCTAGACTGAAATTACCTTAACGTTAGCAACACTGTTTCAGATTCCTAGCATCTACGGTATTTTTCCTCTTAGCTACAGATCTGCAAAATCATGCACCTTTACCAACTGTGATTCCCTTATCTACATTAAGATTATTACTGTCTCACCCTGTTGCTTCTCTTGGAGCCTTTAAGTCCAAGGGATTTAGGTTTGCAAGTCTTTGGCAGACCACTGTTTTAATGATCTGACTGCATTAGGGTTAATCCCAAAAAGCGTGATCAGATCTTTGCACAGAATTACAAAATGATTGCAGCATAGGAGGGCGGCATTTAGCCCATCCTGTCTATGCTGGCTTTCCAAAGGAACAAATAATGCCAGTTTACCACCATCTCCCTGAAACCCTGCAAATTCTTCCTCAATTTATTTTTGCTCAAGGCAACATGTTGATTTAAGGAGCTCCAAACAGGATATTTTAAACCTTTTTTGACATTTATTTTCTATTTAATGACTAGTGATAACCTGTCAATCAACCTTTTTCTCCAATGATTCATGTTTTAGCAATTGGGAAGCTTATTGGTAACTTCTATAAAACTAGATGTTATACTTACTTGAAAAATTCTAATTTTTCATGTGCAAATTGTAATATAATGTTGAAATTGTTTTATTGCTTAAAAATTAGAAGGAGTATGATTAGCTTCATTCCCCAGTTGAGGGGCAAGACCAGAAACCCTTTCTCTTTGGGTTGCGTATCAGAATGAGTATATGAGCATCGTAGCTTGTTCATTTCGTCTTCGTCTTCGTCTTCTTCGTCGTCTTCTTCGTCTTCTTCTTCCTGCCCACCCACCACCACCACGTGGGAAAAACTCGGTGTCCACTTGATACTTCATTTTATGGCGCTATTCTTGGTGGAACCAGAATTTCATTGAATTTTTCATTTTGACATGTTTCTTAAGTTTCAATTTTAACTGCATTTGGTCACCATTGGTCAGTTAATTACCAAATTACCTCATTTATTTTCGTGTTAAAAGTAACTGAGCATACATTTATTGTCTATGAAGTTTATGGAAGTTTTTCACATCAATTTTTAATTTACAAATACACTTTTAAGTGTATTTAATAATGTTCACATTAGTTCATCCTCTGTATTTTATCTCAATGCCTACATCTCCCCCTGTAGGCCAACCATGTTTGTTTTGGTAATAGTCATGGCTGCTTTAAAATGTGGTGTTAGTAATGCCAAAGTCATGGATTTGATCTGTGTCCTGGCCACTGTTGCATCATGGGCCTGGAGGCCTGGATTCAAGTCCCACTTGTTGCAGAGTTGTAATAACATGGCTGAACTAGTTAATTGGAAAATATCTAAACATCTAAAAGAAAATTGTCTTCCAATTCAAACATGCAAAATGTATTCACATTTACAGCCTCAAAGTTTAGAAAAATTTATTTTTATCCTCTGTGCCTGATAGTAGAGGTTGCATTTAATTTAAACATTTGCTGTATGGCACTGACTAGTTTTCACATTGTAATTTCTTTGCATTTCTATTTAGGATTCGATACATCTTGAACATCACCCGTGAAATTGATAACTTCTTCCCAGGAATGTTCGAGTACCATAATATCAGGGTATATGATGAGGAGGCTACAGATCTGCTTGCATATTGGAACGATACGTACAAATTTATCTCAAAGGCAAAGTACGTCATTAGATGGAATCTCTAAAGATATTAGGCAGTTCTTATCAATATTGTTTAGCTTTAAATTTTAAAACGTCATGCAGATATATGCATTGGCTGGTAGAAACAGATCACCGCACCTCTCCAAGTCAGACTTCAGCATACTGCATGGTTGGTTTGTGCACAATTTTTTCTCATTCTAATTGTTTACTCCCCACGTAGTTACCTAAATTTAGCTGTAACTTATTTATCTTGTATGCTTCCTATTACACAATATCAAAATACATATTAGAAATTCAGAGATAGTAAGAATTGCTGATACTGGGGTTTGAAATGACAGTGTGGAGCTGGAGGAACACAGCAGGCCAGGCAGCATCAGAGGAACAGGAAAGCTGACATTTTGGGTCGGGTCACTTCTTTAGAAATTAGAAAATCAGCTTGGGTTTCAAGACATTTTGTTTAAAATGGACTGAAAAGGTCTTTGAGATGTTCAGCGGTTATCAACAATAATGGTCCTTTTTAAACCAGCTGAATCAAAAACACTTCTGTTAAATTGAAAGGGAGCTTCCCTTTTAAAATATTGAACATATACTACAGAAGGTAGCATTTTTGAAGTAGCAGTTCCAGGATATGCTGAGACTTCAAAAACGTGTTGCTGTTTTTGTTTAATTTTCGGTTCTCGAGATTAGAATATCACCCCTACCTGGATACTGTTGTGCCACCAAACTTGTAAGGTACATTTTTGCAGATTCAAAATCCTTTGGTACAAAGTTGTGCTTTGAAGCATTGTGCCAACAGTTGAGGTTTTGTACTGATTTTAACTTGGGAATGACAGCAGTTCAAGTGACATGATCTGCCATTTCATATAATATTGGGATATAATGTATCAAGTTCCATGTTTTGATGATTGTTCCTGGGATTTGATTCTGAATAATTGTTCATTCTTTAGTAACAAAATAATTGATTAATAAATGTGAACTAATACTAGTCTTGATAACTTTGAATACAGTTGTAGACAAAATAGACAAAACTGTTTGTATTTAGAAAACGAATGTGGATTCAGATTCCAGTGTTGAAGCATTTCAAGACATCTTATCTATTCATTTATGGTTTTGCGTCTTTGCTATTGGCATCTTGATGAACATGCAGTTTCAGTAAGCCTAATAAAATTGGCTGCTCAGTTGCTATGACGAGTAGGTAAACGTTGCCCTTTATAGCTTGGATAGAAGAACTGGTACAAGTTGATGTAGAATCAAGAACTTAACAGCCATCAGTACTTGTGATATGTGTCAAACTACAAAATTGTTACTGGAAGTGTAGTGTCAAACGGAGCCATCTAGCTACTAACTGCAATTCTACTGGTTCCCAAATGATGGGTTCCAAGTGATTCCGACATATGTCTTCGCATAAAATGTAGGAGTTGTATCAATTCATGTGTAAAATTCTTGCTAAGGTGCCCTTGTGAAATTGGAAACTGAGTTTGAATGCTAAATATAATTTCCATATTCCTTAGAATTATCATTCAAGTTACCACCTTTTTACTTTAAAAAATTTTGATTTTAAACACCTGTTTCTTTTTCCATCAGAAAAAATGGATCCAAATGTCTTGTTCACTGTAAAATGGGCATCAGCAGGTCCGCGTCCACAGTCATTGCGTATGCAATGAAGGAATATGGCTGGAATTTGGAAAAAGCTTACAGTTATGTGAAGGAGAAGCGGACAGTTACAAAACCTAATGTGAGCTTCATGAGACAACTGGAAGAGTACCAGGGTATCTTGCTTGCTAGGTGGGTGTATCATCTTGGATGGTTCCTTTTTCAGTCCACCTTAATTTACAGTATCAGATATGTGCTGTCTTGTCTGTCTTTACTTTCTTGATTCACATTTTCTTTCCTCTATTTACCTCCTGGCACACACACACACTGGATGGGGTCTGATAGAACGGCAGGCAGGGCTGCCATGTACATCTCCACGGCTTCCACTGATGATGCTCTAGAGCCAGGTGCTGCAGTGCAACCCAAGGTAGAGCCACCGCCAATTTTCCCTCTCTCCTAGTCAGCTGGGCACCTTGTGTCTGCATGGTCCTGAACCAGACAAACCAGGTGTGAGATTACCAACTCCCTGTGAGTGGAAATGTCAAACCAAATTGTGATTTGAATCAGGGTCTCTCATTCTGAGAGTTGATTTTTGTTTGGGTGAAATATCTGAAAATAGAAACACAAGATTACGGTGATTAAATTCCATCAGAGCAAACCACAAACAGGCAAGTTCCTTGAACTCCAGCCTCCATTCTCATTTGTGCCCTGCAGTACTCAATGTGTTCTTGTGTTTTTGTTTTTTTTTTGTGGAAAGTTCTATGTTGTAAAAAGATGGTTCGATTATGTGATTAGTGGTCTATTAAGCAAAATCTGTATGATTAAAACATCCAAGCATTTTGTTACTGCCTGATTATGGTATAATTGAATATTTATATTTTAAATGGAAAATCTCTGTGTAAAGTATAACATGAAGTTGGTATGAGGCCTTCTGAAAGGAACAGTTCTAACCAATGACGTGGAGAATGCTTGAATTTGGTATAGTTTAGTTTTGTTTGCTGACTGCACTATTTTCTTCAATCTATCTCCACTCAGTTTGCTGTAACAGTATACACCTGTAAATTGACTGAGGGGAAAAGAATAGCTGTCACACCATTTATTTGGGATGTCTGAAATCTTCCAGAATCTTATGCTGTCTTCTTTCTTGCTGCTGCCCCACACAACCCCCCTCCACATACTGAATTGGTTTCTGCATTATTTGAATCAAACACTCTATAACTATCCACTTCATATTTTTCTCACATCCATCATATCTAGCAACTCACTGTATGAGCTGATTGACTGATATAATTATTTCACCTACAGTGCTTGAAAATTCTGTGTAAAGCACCCTGTTTTAATTAATCCACTTGAATAATCCATTGTTGAGACTTTGTTTAAAATAGGAATTTAGTATGGAACTTAATGTCATTGAGTAGGAAGCAGGCAGGCCTTTGGAGTGTTAAGGCCTAATGTAAAGATGACAGTATGAAAATGACACAATGTTGGCTCGAACGAAGATCACCCAGAAGTGCACTCAGTCTACCAGGTTGTGTTCTTAGAAGCTTGGGTTGTGCTTAGAGAGTAAAAGTAAAACAGAAACATTGCCATCAGTGTTCCAGCCTGTTACTAACTTGGGTAGAATAGAAGCAATGCAGTCGCTTGGGTTCAGCATACCACACAAAACCGATGTGATTAAGTGTGATTTTGTGCCTGCACATTTCATGTCTTGCCACTCCTGCCCCAAATCATCCTCTTTCCTATAATGTACTTGTATCTATGTGCTCTGTAAGCCCATTGATAAAACTAATGCACCATTTTTGAACTGTCCTCCTGTTTCTAAAGACAAACAAAAGTGCTTTTCCAGCAGCTCTCAGGTTTTATAATGGATGAAATTGAGATCCATTACTATTGAAGTTGTGGACCTTGTAGCGTTTATTTGGCTTGAAAATAGTGATCCATACCTTTTGAATTGGCTTTGCTGTATTATGCACATTTGTATATGCTACTGACCTTTACAGTGGACAGTGGTGGGCGATTGTAGTCCCAGACCAAATTCTAAAGGAGTTCTAAAAGGTTTTTGTTGTAATATGTATTTGGGTAAATGCCACACTGCAAACGAATTTGTCTTGCTTCCAAGACAATCAGTTCAAGCTTATGTTGCATTAGTATGTCCAAAAATAGTTGTTAAAACTATATCTGTACATATTTGAATTAGTATCATGCTGTCAATACTTGATCCTTCTATATAGTGAATGTGGATGTTAACTAATAAATTATAAATAGTCCAAATTTTCCTTGATTTAATCCCATGAAAGCTTTAAGGAATAACATGTTCAATAAGACAAATTTACAGTCCTATGTCTCTAATTCTACTTTGCATTCTAATGTCTCAAATTTTTATATGAATAGAACAGGAACTTACTGTATATTTAATAAACAGAAGTAGATTAGTAAATTTGATGCTTGGAACTTTAAGTGCTCTTTTTATTGATGAATAAAAACTGTAATTTATAACTTTCGAAAATGATTCTACTTTCTATGTGCCATTTTCACCAGTCCACGAAATGTCAGAACATTCCTATCTGTTATCAAAAGAAAGTTTGGCCTAACAAAAGGAGCAAGGTGACCGAATGGTTATTTTACTTAAATTGGGAAAGCTAATAGTCATAATTGCAAGCAATCAGATTTAAGAATTGAGATTAAAAACAAAAGAGCATGTCTTTTTTTTTTGTATCTTATGAAAGACTGGTTTCTTTCTACGGTAGAAGTCATGAACTTATGGACCTTAAGATCGGCATTGTCTAATTATCAGTGGAATATAGACTGTAAATTTTAACATCAGATTGTTGTGGTTTCATACTTTAATTTTGTTTAATTGTAGAAATAGAAGATTTTGAGAATTGCTGCTTTTTGAGTAAATGCAGATTTGAGAAAGCATTGTTTATAGACGTCTTATGAATAGAGAAACCATATAAATACGCTCCTTCTTCGTATTCTGAAGATCAATTTCTGTGTTAACAGCCAAAGATAATTCTAGTTCTCTTAAAACTGTAAAGATCAACTCTAATGTCCTGTTGTAATGTATAACATCAGTTGTCCTTTGTGGATCATAGCAGCATTCTGTGTCCTTGTTAAATGACATAAGGTAGTAGATATTCATGCTAACAAAAAATACAATTATAATATGAAGTTGTATCAGAAGCAATCTTAATAGCAGAAACATGTTGCACACTATAGGATGTATGTTATATACTCAGGATTCAGCTGTAATTAGTTTCTATAAGGCCTTTGCTGGTAGAGGGGAATAAATATACTTGTACCTTTTTTAAGTTGGAATACAACACCTTTTAAATGGCTAAATTCCTACATTGGTAAATGCAATGATGGCTAGAATAAACTTTAAAATAAACGAAAGTTGTAATATTCTATTTGCAGCACCACCTGCAGTGTACCTTCTGAGACTAGAGCCTGGCGTGTTGCTGCCCATGGTCTGCAATGAGGTTGGCCTTTGCTCGCTGGATTCTGGGCCACCTGCTGAGGCAATCACTTTTTCCTTGCCACACCGTGGTCACTACTTGGTGATTTTTTTTTAGGGGGAGTCTGCAGTGTCCATTCTGGCTGGCTGCACTTGCATCCAGGATCTTCTCAATCGGGCTGCTCACCTTGATTGGCTAAGGGGCCTTGGTCTTCCTTCTTCTGGGCATTAGAGTATTAATCATACCTGGACACTGACTTTTTCTTCTCTTTATGTGCTTCTAAAGTGTCAACCAGGGCTGTGGAGTTCTTGTGGTAGATTGCCTGGTTGAACAGTGCAGGCTGCTGCAGGGTTGTGTCTGGGCTGTGGAGCAACAGTTGGACAGTAATGATAGCACTGACCTCGATGGAGGGAGTAGGCAGGAAGTGAGGACTACCAGACTTGGTTATTGCTGGCCTCCTGCTAGTTTGCTGGGGAGGGGTGTCAGTGTCCTCTGGCTGGGAGGTGTGGCTTTATCATGACCACACAGGTCCTGAAGAAGCGGCAACTCAGACAAAGCAGGATGTGGACACGACTCCAGTAGAAAATCTGGGGCCTAGTGTGGAGATACACCCCAGTGCAGTCCTCTGGCCTTACTGCAGCACAAGAAGAGACCACAGGTTGATTAGCTGGGTGCTGCCTAAAGTCTGAGAGGAAGAGGCCACCAAATTGGCACCAATTTGGTCAAGTATTGGGCTAGAGAAAACAATGTTAAAATGTATCCTACCAATATTAAAACAAAACTATGTGTAGCGGGTATTCTAAAAAATACGTAACCATGAGTAGAGGATTGGCTAACAGAAAAGAGTTGGGGTTAATGGGACAGTTTTGAATTGGCAAACCAACAAATGGAGTGCCACAGGAATCTGTGTTTGGATTTCAAATTTTTATCATCTACATTAATAACTTGGATGAAGAAATTGACTGTATTACTGATTTTACTGACATTTCAAAGATAGCTGAGAAAGCAAGTTGTCAGGAGTCTGCAAAGGGATTAAGATGTGTTAAATTCATGAGCAGAAATTTGGCTATTGGAGTATAATGCGGGAAACTGAGATTGTCTACTTTGGTATGAAGAATAGCAAAGCAAAATATTAATTAATTGGAGAGATTGTTAAATGTTGCATTGCAAAAGGATCTGGGTGTGTTTTACATAAATCTGAGTTAGTATGTAGGTACAGCACATAATTGAGGGAAATTGGAATGTTGTCTTTTATTACAAGGGGTTGCAGTATAACAGTAGGGAAATCTTGCTACACATTCAGGAAATAGGCAAGACCACAGCTGGAGGTCTGTGAACAGTTTTCATTTCCTTACTTAGGAATTGTTTGCCTTGAAAGCAGTTCAGAGAAGGTTCACTGGGATAAAGGTGTTATCTTACAACGAATGATTGAGCAGATTGGAATTATACTCATTTGATTTTAGAATAATGAGAAGTGATTGTATTGAAAGATTCAGTGGGGGTTGATGAGAAGATATCCTGTAGTGAAGAATTTGGAGTTAGGAGGCACAGTTTAAAATAAAAAGGGATCTCCCATTTAAGACTGACATGAGGAGGAATTTCTTCTTTGGAATTCTCCTCCAAATGTAGTGAATGCTTTGCCGTTGAATGCGTCCAAGGTTACGTTGGACAGGATTGTGATTTAGAAGAGAATCAAGGGTTATGGGATGCAGGCAGGAAAGTAGTGTTAAGACTAAAGTGAGATCAACTATGATCTTGTTGAATGGTTGAGCTGGCTGAAATGGGTCACATGACCTCTTTATGATCTTACGGTTTGTAGGCTGTAATTCCAATTAGGTAATACTTGCAACTATAACATGTTAACGAGAACCTTTATATGAAGTGCCATGTACAGATTTGGTCATGAAGTATATTTTCTTCTATTCATTCCTGGTGAACAGCGAGCGCAAGTATGATGTGGACAATGCTTAAGTGATGATGTTTATTGTTATTGTTGTCAGATTGATGAAAATACAACATACACTCCTATATTTGGGATGACATGTTCTAGAGGGTTTGAGCAGGGCCAGTGGTGATGCTAATGTGTAAAAGAAACCTAAAGCAGGAAGATCGAGGTATTTTGTCTTCCATTGACCACAGAAATTCTCCACTTTCTTACAGATTTTAAATTATTGCGCACGTTAATGTAAATACAACCTAAACTGCAGTTACTTATAGTATTCTGACTTAATCCATCAATATCATTACTTCTGTCATCCGGTTTTTAAGCCACCCATGTCATAACAGGATAAATCATTCAATAAGAAATAAGTGAAAATAGACTTTTTTTTCCCCCCTCCTGGGAAGTAGCGTTTATAGTTGCTAAACTTTGATCCCGAAGTGGTAGTTATAATAGAATTGGTCTAGGAAAATTTCATTTATTCTCACTGGGAAAAGATAGGGAAAAGAATGAATGATCGTGCTGGAATAAAGACACATTTTGAGGGTTTAGTTATCCTGTGGAAATTTCTAATTGTACATGACTTAGTTCTTGGTCTTTTGCAAGTATATTCCGCAATCATATGGGTTCAATGGATATTGGAAAGTTAAATCAAATGTAAAGAACACACATTTCTTTGTCTTTGTTGAACATCTCAAAATGCTGCTGTCTCAACCTGTAAGAGGGAGAATAATGGACACTAAGAAAGTGGTAGGAATGGACATGGTTGAAAATGTAATTCAAATGTCAAATTTTAAGGCATTTTGAAAAGTGGGCGAGGCAGTTCAAGTAAAGAGTTTTTGGAAATTATTTGTGATGGCTGAAGACTGTGCAGTGGCGAAGCATAGAGACGTCTGTGCTTGAATTTAGATTCTGCTTCAGGGATTAAGCTGAATGTAAGTTTAGAGGGACGAAGAAATTGCCTTAAATGTTTTTATACATGGATCAGAATAATTAGCTACGTTTACTGAGACTTTTGCTGATTTAGTTTCTTATTTAAATTTTGATTTGGGTTTTCTAACAAAAGAGTAATCCAAAAGTTTGTTTTACTTTATTATTGAGATGTTTTTGTTTGTGCATAATCATCACAAGCTATGTCTCATTCCAAAAGAATTTTAATTACTTTGCACCATTTCAGGGAAAACTTGTGTTTAATGTATTAGGTTACAACCCACTGAACTTTGTTCCCCTACTAAGTATTTGAATCAACTTGACCCACTGCACAAATATCACTTCATACCTAAAAATAGACATTATTGTGTGACAGGTAACATGATACTGATACAAACAACTTCACTGAGCAGGGCTGTAGTACTTAGTTTGTCATTTGGGTTATTGATGTGACTTATTTAGAACAGTGGCCATAACAGTGTAGTAGTACAATTGAGAAAATATCAAACAGGCTAAAGGACTTCGTATTTTGAGCAATATATTTTGTGTTTCAAGCTTCATTTTTCAATATCCACATTATTGTTAAGCTTTTAGTTCTCTGCAGAGGGTTATTTACTAGTATTAACTAGAATTTCAATATGGCATCTACTGTTAAGTCAGAAATGTTCTAAAGAGAAATTTCCATTCTGCCATACTCAAAAACTGGAGACCAACAAAATGTCATTCTGGTCACTTGTAATCAAAGCAAGTGTTCTTTACAATACTTAAGTGATGATCTTTATTGTTATTGTTGTCAAATTGATGAAAATACAACATACACTCCTATATTTGGGATGACATGTAATATAAGAGGTGTGGTATTGGACTGATGTTTATCAAATACCCATGCTTCAATTTGTTCCTGTTTAAACTTTCCTGTTTCTGCAGAACTTCATAATTCTTAAGTGGCAGTGTCATGGATTTTGTACTTGGATGTTTGAACTGTTGTCTGCTTAAAATAATTGCGGTTCCCCTCTGAATATGTTCGCCTTTGTTAATGGCCGCAGATGAGAAAGCAGAGGTTGTGGAATTGTGGGGGCACCGTGATTAGAGTCAAGTATAGGAAAAGCATCCCCAACACTTCATGCCTTTTTTTACAATAGTGGAAAGTAGGGCATTACTGTTGTTGCATTGAAGAGATGGGGCAATTCATTGACGTATTTAAATTGGGCATCTGAAGTGAGTTTAGTGATTACTGGAACATGAGAAAACCTGCCAGTGTAAACGTGGTGGAAGCTGCCTGCTCCACAAAATGAGGTTTTTTTTTCAATACTTTCTGTTTCTGGGTCAGCAGTAGGGGCAGTTGCTTTTTTTTAGTTCCCGATAGATTTTGTTAATACTGGTAGCTGAGTTTTTAATAAATGGTTATGAACATGGTTCATATTTCATAAATGTTATGGACTTGAGCTTGAAGGATCATAGAAATGCCAGGCATGTTTTGGAAGTGCAAAGTTCAATGAAAAAAAAAAATTGGAACTTCTTTAAAAAGTTAGGCATTTTTGCAAACCACACAGTTCCAGGTAATTGCAGGTTTTGGTTGCTTGTACTCAGTTAAGGGAAAACCCTTTTTTTAACAACTGAGTTTTATTGTATTTCGTAACCATGCTGTGTCAATCAAGATTCCCAAGATGACCGTGATTAGTGACTTGCATGTGGACAAGAGTACTGATCGACAAACATCAGAACATTCCACACCTTATCCCTTTTGTTGCCTTCCTTCAAGAATAACTGCTACCGGCCAGAATGGCATTATCTTTTCAGAGTGAATTTCTACAAGGGATCTATTTTTCTCTTCCTGAAATATGTGTTGTGTGTTTTGTTTTGGAGTAGATGGGGGACAGAGGTGTAAACATTTGTATTTTCATGTTATAAATTTTGTTAATTAATTCTGCACCTTATGATTGGGTTATGTTTTATAATAGATCGATAGTATTATGTTTATGGAAAAATAACCTGCCTATTGGATGTTTAATTCAATGTCCAATGTAGAGAAAACAATCCATTGGCCATAAAGAGACTTGGGTATAATATTTTAATTTTATGCTGCGACCCATTGAATGTTGGCACTAGAGCATCATTGCATTCCTCTCATCTTGGACGTAACATTGAAGATAGTCATGTCATTTTATGTGACTACAGTAACCAATTATATATTCTTGACAAAAAAAAAGTGCCCAAAATCCGTTGTTTTGGGTTTAATATAACATATTTACATCTTTCCATCTGCAGATGCGGGACTTGTATGGATGATCTGGTTCTTTATTTTCTTTGCATCAAGAGGTATTCTGTAAAGAAGTCAATGCTTAGTAGTGCATTAGAAATGCTTTGGATCCTTTCAGTTTTCCACTGAAACTTGTAAAACAATATATTAGCCTTGTCTTCGTCCTGTAGAATTTTGTGAAAATACTATAATTTTTCAAAAGTAGGTTTGAAGAGTCCTTTATTTTTTGTTCAATTATTTTTCAAATAGATCTCTTCATTTAGTTGCTTGTTTTTGTTTTCTCACTTTGAACCAAATTGAATTTACTATTTTGCCTGTACACTCCTCCTATCCTTGTCAATTGCTAGGAGCTGTCCCAGTGGTCACCGTCTAAGTAGAAAACAGATGGTGAGAAGCAGTGGAGGGAAATAGTTGTATTGGTTCTAACCCTAGTATGAAGTCAGCCTGTCTGGCTGCCGCAGATAATGTGATCATTGTACACATACACAAGGAAAAAGTTTTCTGATGGATGGGGTTTACTTATGCTTTAGATTCCTGAAGTATTTTCCTTTTACTCCATTATCAACTCAGCCTGAATCTTTACCTTGCATTGAATTGGAAGATTGTAAATACAGATCTTTTTATAAGATTTGATTGTGTATTTTAGACTGATGCTCACTGCAATGCAGTTCTAGTGAGGTGCTGAACTTATTGATAGTGATGTGCTTCAAGTGATGAATGAGAAAGTGATCCTCTTCCTCAATATTGAGACAGTTGTATGCTCAAAATAGATTGATAGGTCACTTTTTTCTATTTAGGGAATTTTGCATGAAATGGAGACTGTATGAGTAACAAGAGACTAAACACTTCCAAGTAATTATTGTAGGTTAACATTTTGAGACATTTCCAAGAGGCTATTGGTTGGGATGTGTCTGGCAAAGAAATGACAGCTGTATTTGATGTCTGCATAAGTGATTGCATCTGAAAAATACTTCTGTGGAATGTTTGAGTTGTTTCACTGTGATTTATCACCACATATTGTGTGATGCCTGGATCATTTTTGCTATGGGAGAAATACTTTTATTTATTCTGTTTCTCTTGATTTTGTTTCTTAATGCAGCAAGCAACGGCACAATAAGCTATGGCGATCGCATTCAGATAGCGACCTTTCAGATCACCGTGAGCGTATTAATAAATCTGCTGTTGACTTAAACAGAAGGGACAGTACTTCCACTACAGAAATGCCAACTGATCTACTTACTGAGCATCCATGTCAGTCCCAGTTCTCAAATGTCCTAGAAACAAGTTTACCTGGAGTCCATGAAGGAAAAAACGAGTTAAATTTTGGAGTTGATACAGATTATGAAATATCTTTAAAAGGTAACCCCAATGACTTGAACACCGACATCTCTTCTGCAGCAGTGCCAGGACTGGAGGTCACTGATAGTACCACCACGAGGTTACCAGCAGATTACAGCTCAGATATTCTCCCTCTCCAAGACTTCCACTCTGACAAATCTGCAGAGGTCTTGTCACAGAATGGACTTTCTTCTTCACCTAACCACTTCATGATGTTGACTGATTTGGAAGCAGGTGAATCAGAGAAAGGTGTTAATTTAAACCCGAATGACATTTTGGTACCGTTACTTGAAACTGCACCTCTGCCAGAGGATCATAAAGCCTCGCAGGAACTGATTTCCTCTGTCTCGCCGTCAAACATAGATGCTGGAATTTGCAGTTTAAGTACTGATCGAATTGACTTCTTCAGTGCCAGAGAAAAATTCATTGAGCTTTCGCAGGAGAATGGGGCAAGAGCCCAAGCGCACTTAAAAACAGAGGAGTTTGGTGGTGGGAAGTATTGTGCCACAAAAGTGGCTGCACAGGAAACCCTCGAGAAAGAACAGATTACAAATGGTCAGGGACACACTTCATTGGATAACTCGGCTCACATAAAAGATAAATGTGTAGATGATGACGCAAAATCTAATAAGGTAAAAATATTAACTTTTTTGTAAATTAAACTACAGATGAACTGAACAAAAATTCCCATAACCCTTAGCATCAAGTTGAAATATTTTAATTAGTAAGAAAATCTAACATATTTAATTTCAATGAACTAAGTTGGTCATTATAAGCACTATCATTTCTGTTCAATATCTTTCTGCCACATGTACGAAATTAATTTAAGCTATGTATACTCCATTTTCTACTGGTTAAAAGTCCAGAAGAAAATTTGGCCGAATTAGCACTGATTGTTGTAAATCATAAGAGTGCAAGAATTTGGGATATGAAAATATATAACACTGATACAGTTGACAATAATTTTATAAGAGTTGATAATGGAAACATTGGAAACAGTGAATAAAGTGAATTTTTCTAAAACTTTATTCCAGCTGCAGACATTTGCATGGTTAGCATTGCTTTGTTGATTCTAACTGTAGAAAACTGCTCCATGCATTAGCGCTCGCGTATCGTGCCTTGGGCACACAAATATGGCTATCAAAATTGATTTGATTGATTTATTTATTTATTGTCACGTGTACTGAAATAGTGAAAAGCTTTGTTTACCAGCAGTACAGGCAGATCATAGTAAGCAAAGGTGTACAGATCAAAAAAGACTTAGAGGCATACAGGTTACATTGCACATGGCGTGCACTAGGCGAGATCAACATTAGCAAGATCAAACATTATTTGAGGCTAGAGAGTCCATTCGTCAGTCTGATAACGGCCAGAAAGTCATCCTTGAACATGTTCGTGCGTGTGTTCAGGCTTCTGTATCTTATGCGTGACAGAAGAGGTTGTAGGAGATCATGACTGGGTTGCGAAGGGTCTTTGATATTGGCAGCCTTTCCACGGCAATGAGCCATGTAAATGAAGTCCATGGATGGAAGGTTAGCTTCTGTGATGGACTAGGCTGTGCACACCACCTTGTGTACTTTCTTACAGTTCTAGGCAGAGCAGTTGCTATACCAGGCCATTATGCAGTTGTACAGTATGCTTTCAGTGGTACATTTGTAGAAGTTGGTGAGGGACCTTATGGACATGCCAAATTTCCTGAGCCGCCTGAGGAAAAAGGAGTTTTTGTGTTTTCTTGACTGTCACATCTACATGGGAAGTTCAGGACAGGTTGTCAGTTATCGTCACTCCAAGGAACTTGATGCTCTTCACCCTCAACTTCAGTTCTGCTGATGTAGATGGGGGGGTGTGTTCTCTCCTTTCTTTCTGAAGTCAATGATCAGTTCTTTAGTTTTGCTGACGTTGAGACAGATTTGTTTTCACTGCACCATGTCATCAAGCCCTCTATCTCCCTTCTTTATTTCCACTGGTTGTTAGATATTCGTCCCACTACGCTGGTATCGTCAGCGAGCTTGTCGATGGTGTTCGTTTGGAATTTGGCAACACGGTTATAGGTATAAAGGGAGTATGGGAGGTGGCTGAGGACACATGCTTTGGGTTGAGGGGGGGAGCTCCAATGTTGAGTGTTATTGTGGAGGAGTTGCAGTTACCTAACTTTACTGATTTGCCTATGAGTCAGAAAGCTGAGGATCCAGTTGCAAAGGGCAGAGCCAAAACCAAGGTTACGGAGTTTTGAGATCCGTCTGGAGGGGATAATGGTGTTGAAGGTGGAGCTCTAGTCAACGAGCAGGAGTCTGACATAGATGTCTTTGTTGCCCACATGTTCCAGGGATCAGTGCAGGGCTAGGGATGTGGTTTCCTATGTGGACCTGCTACGTCGGTAGGCAAATTGTAGGAAATAGAGGCAAGCTGGGAGACTGGAATTGATGTAATGTTGAAAAAAAGAGAAATGCTCTCAAAGCTTTTTATCTTGCACTCATCAGTGCAGAAGTGTAAGAATGTCCAATTTCAAAGGGAAGTGTGTGAGAAGAAGCTGCTGAGCCACCATCCCTGGTGCATTTTTCATGACAATGCCTTGACCAATCAATCAGTGCTGCCTTCTCATGGCATATAAATTGTTGTTCCCTTTGAAATTTGGTAATCTTCCAACTATTCTGATGAGTGCAAAACAAAAAATTATAAAAACGTGTCTTTTTTTAAACCGGTGCTCAAGTTCTGTATTACTAAATGACTAGACATTAATGTATGGTACATCCCAGTTCCTATTAATGAAACTCATTCTTCTGTGCTTTGTACTAATCAGTTTTCTACCATGTAAATCGGAAGTGTGTTTGGGGGAAGTCTAGCTTTGCTCTCTTCCCATTTAACATAAGGTTTATAGTGTTCGTAGTAGTACAGTGAGAAAGATCATTTGAGAGTTTCAATTTAAATTTTTTTACTTAAGCATTTTTGTCTTTCATCTATAATCATGTAATTTAATGTGCATCTTGTGACAAAGTGTAAAGGTCTTGAAAATTCATCTTTCCCTTTTATAATCAAGTGTTTACTTTCTCTGGGAATTTGCTCACGTCTGCAGCGATTGTATAAATTATATATGTTGTGCTCATTTTGTTTTTGTTTTCCACAGGAAAATCTAGTACCAAAATTGTTCAACAAGAAGTCTTCCTTAACTAGGTCTCAGTCCTTAAGTGTCATTTCTGTGAAAGAAATTGTGACGGGAATAGAGTCCAGCCAGAGTTCAGGTGTGTGCCAAAGCAAGATGGAAAGTGTCACCACTAACCAGGTCCAAACACCAAAGAGGAACACAGTTCATGAGCTACCAGCAGATTTTCATTGGCTTTCTGAAAACAACAACATTTCAAAAAAATTTTGCGAAAACGACTGTAAAAATGCCACTGATTTGTCTGAAGCTAAAGACGATGTATGTCAACAAGTGCATTTAACAGCCAAGAGCTATGAGGACTGCCAGGAGACAGCCATTAAAGAGTCTACGCAGGATGGAAGCATAGATCCAAAACAGGTGCCAAAATGGTGTCCTGGCTCAGTCAAACGTGCAACACAAGAATTTGAAGAACGATTAAAACAGGGGCAAGAACATCAATCATTGGCAACATTACCAATCCGTAAAAATTCCAGAATTGATGGAGCCACAGCTAGTGACTTTGTGGTGACAAACAAGAGTGAGGCTATCATTTCTGAGTTACCTTTGTTGAATGATAAAAGAAAAGAAAGGATTGATGATGACCCACATTTATTACTCGAGATTAGTGTATCTCAGAATCAAGAATCGGTCTCGGACTTGCAGTCACATGTGATAGAGCATCCATTAGAACCAAGACTAGAATTGGAACAAGCTGAACCTGGCTCTTTGAGCACTCTGGAACTTGGGATAACCCACTCTTTTGAAACCTCCCAGGACCTGGATTCATATACCCAACTTCCAAAGAAAGTTGAAATAATTGAGTACACCCATGTATTTAAACCACCATCTCAAGAAAACAATGATACTATTTGCTCGACAGGAGAAGAGGAAATCGTTGAAGTTGAATCTCCGGAAAAGGAAAATATGGCCATAGTACAATCTGCAGATGATCTAAAATCTATGGAAGTGAAAACTACCGAATTTCCATGCCACTCACTACTATTACCATTTTTGGACACCGTAAGTTCAACTGAAACTGACAACAAAGAAATTGAAGGAGTGACCTTCGAATCTGGTAGTCCTCCAGATGATGCAGTTGACAGCTTCTCCGAGTATGAAATTGCTTTAGTTGTTAGTGGTGCAGCACATTTGCCATTAAACGGCTTGGAGAATCAAACACCTGTACTTCACCTGGAGGGCATCACAGAGTCCAGTACAGACACTGATGCAGAGACCCTTGATAATGAATATTTGGGGTTTCGGGAAGCTGACACAAAAATTACATCTTTGCAAAGACGTGATGGGTGCATTACTGTACTGAGTCATGAAGATTTAAAGTTGAGTTTCAGCAGATTTGATGAAAGTATCAGGGATGTGCAAGAGATGTCAAGATTTGAAAAATGTACCCATAACCTTAGCCATGGCCCGAGCAATGACAGTACAGGATGTCTAAGTTGTACACTGGGGATGAGTAAGCAACAATCAAAGGAAATTGAAGCTAAAATAAGGCAAGCAGGTCTCACAACTCCATCACAGATTAAACGTTCAGCATCCATTGCTAAGCTGGGTTACCTGGAGCTTTCGAGGGATGATTTATTTAGAAAGGCGTTGGATACTTCTAAAACTTACCAAGCATTTCTTGACTCCATCCAGACTACACCGTGGGCAGTGCAGAGTACAAGTGAATATAGAACTGAATGTGCTGTGAAAGATGAGCCCAGTAAAAAGAAATGTGTTTCCATTTCTCTTCTCCAAGATCCTCAACCCACCGTGTGTTTCGCAGAACAACTTAACGCATCAGAAAGTATTGCACAAAGTGAGCCTGTGGAGATGCCCTTAATACAATATGCCAAAGCAGTTGAGTCCCAAGAGTGTCCACTGGCAAGTACAGAAGAGAACCTTCCACAGATAAAACCTTCCTTCCCTTATGATACCGATGCACCCTGTCCCACCCCACTGATGTCTGTAGCACCTCGGCAGCACCATCATAGAAATCATGCATTAAAGCGATTAAAAGCAGCTAATGAGAGAAAACGCACAACCAATCCTTTGTATAACACCATGTGACCCTAAGCCCAAAAGCTATGCTTCCTTATGAGAGGCAAGTGTTTTTCAATGGAACAAGCACTTTACAATTTGTTTTCTATATATTGTTAAATGTAGGGATTTTTTTAATGATTGATTGCATGCTGACATTGGGCTTCTTTAATTCGTTCGTTCTTGCTTTCTTTATTCTCAAAGTTGTATTTGACTTAACATTGTGTGAAACTAAACCCTTCAACCACAAAATCTTATTTAAAAGAGCACACCAGCTAATATGGAGCAAGCTTACAGTTAAATTTATCAGTCTGTTGTTTAACATACCTCTAAATTGAAATCAGGGACAAACAGCTCATTGTGATAAGTTCTGTACTATTTTTACAAATGTCATTGTCACCTTTTGCTTATTAATTGACATGCTTTCCTATCATACATTATGTCCTCAATCTAATCTTCCTGCTGAGAGAAAATATTGACATTATGAATTTCTTCCCCCTATTGTGTAGTCTTGCGAAATGGCTGTTAAACCTTTGGAGTATATTTTGTGTTATAGTGAAACAGTGAGCAAAAGAATTCCGATGCGCACTGTTCCTTAATCATTTTTAAGCTAATTTTAAGTAAAATTCAGATCAACAGTCTTTGCAGGGCTATATAGAGACTGTTAGCTGCAATATTTTTGACCTCCTTGATTTCTCTAATTTTCCATCACTGAAATGGGTTTACATGTTGTTTGTGTTAGTTTGTGTGTTCCATTTAAAGTGGTCTAGATTCAGGATTATATGTGAATTATTACTTGAACACTACAGTGGGCTTTTGATAAGACCTTCCATATCCGCTTACAGGGGAATCCTTATAATAACTGTTCTCTGCCTTTTTCTTTATTATTCCTGTATATTCTACTCCTAAAGTGCCGTTGGTTGGTCCCATTGGAAGGACTTAAGCTCATCCTTAACCTTAATAGAGAGTCACTTTTGAATGTGACTTCTTTAAAGAAAGAAAACAATTTTTAGTTTTATGAATCGCTGGTATGGCTGTTTCTATTTTGTTGAAGGTGTGAATCTAAATTTACTATCTTCATTCCTGCCACATGTATAATAGTCAATATTTTCCCCTGCCTGGGAGTACATTTGATAAGGCCAACAGTTCTTTGAAACTGGAATTCTCTTAATTGCAATATGTCATTTACAACTTCAGTTGCATTACAGCTGTAAGAATGTCAGCATTTTCCTTGGATCAGTACACATCCGTTCTGCTAGGAATAATTCAATACTGCTCCATCTGATTAGAACTGTGATACCTAGGCAAGAATTTATACTGGAAGCTTGTGGAAATATCTTGAGGATATCAGTAGTATTCCTGTGATAATGACTTTCTCCCATGTACATTAAATTTTGTCACTATTTTCCTGCATTTTCCCCTAGTCCTGTTGATGTTCTGTACCACCTATAGATTGCACAGTAATACTTGGTGTAATGAAAGCTGTAAGCAATGTTCATATTCTGTACATTAAAGCATTTATCTAATTTTAAGCAACCAGCTTCTCCAGAACTGCTAGTTGCATCTTATCATACCCATTATTAGTGTGTTCTACAGTTTAACTGGGATATCCTGGATATATTATCATTTTTAATGGATAGATGCTATATAATTAGTACAAAATACTGAGCAGAAACATCATTGCAGAACCGTCATTGATTCAACCAATCTATCCATTTGAGAATTTTGCTTTTGGAAAACCTAAATCGTCTAAAACAAGATATTTGGAATTAATTAAGATTAATGTTAGGGCAGCACAGTGGCTCAGTGGTTAGCACTGATGCCTCACAATGCCAGGAACCCAGGTTCGATTCTACCCTAAGGCGACTGTCTATGTGGAGTTTGCACGTTCCCCCCATGTCTGCGTGGGTTTCCTCCAGGTGCCATGGTTTCCTCCCACAGTCCAAAGACGTGCAGGCTAGGTGGATTGGCTGTGCTGGAATGCCCACAGTGTTCAGGGATGTGTAGATTGGGTGGGTTATTGGAGGAATGGGTCTGGGTGGGATGCTCTGAGGGTCGGTTTGAATTTCTCGGGCCGAATGGGCTGTTTCCGTGTAGGGATTCTATGATCTATGAAATCATAGTAAAAGAGCAAAATAAAATTTTGGGTTCCAGCTATAACTAGCATTATTTGCTCTGTGTACCCAAGAGAGCCACATTTGTGCTTTTGGAAATCTGCATAACATGCTTTTCTTAGATTAAAAAATATTTTCTCTTTGTTCGTGTTTCTTTTCCCTGAGTACACTGCTGTCTGTTCTTCCCATTTGGGGGGAGTGGGTAAACCATCATCACTTACATACTTTTATGATCAGGTGACTGTTCAAGTAGAACAGATTGATTATGCCGTTTTTTTTTTCCATCACTCTGTTTTGCAGTTGCATTTCATTTGTGTACTGAACCTAGTTCAAGTCATTATCAACTTGTAGCACATATAGCCAGTTGGGATAAATTTGCACAATTGCTTAGATTGATGGGCTGTTGTTGAGTCATTTTGGTTCCAAGGTCCTTGATAAAGATTCTTATCTGTGTTAACCCTAAATTATCACTGCTTTCAAAAAATAGCTAAATGACAGGGTGTTCGAATTTTTACTGTTTCTTTTTGTACAAACTGTAATCCCAACAAGCTCCTAGTACTGCTGTATATCCATATTTTTGTCTAATTATGGCTTCCATTGTAAATTAAAGTAAGAGATTAGACTGATAACCAAGTGAATTTTGCCTAGAACATGATGTGAAATTAGCTGCTAGGAGGACCAGACAGCACATTGATGCTCAGAGTTTGAATACAGGTGTCATGAGTCTGGAGCCTGCTGTTGGAATTTGTTTTTTAAACCACTGCAGTTCAACAACTTTTAAAGGGCATTTTTATATGTTTTTTAAATGTGATTATTATATTGTTTACATTGTGAATATTGGAGCTGTACATTTTCTTAACTTATAGCTGTACCCTACGTGCTGTTTACGTGCCGTCTGTTGCCTTGGCATTCAGCTTTCACATTTGGTTCATTCTAGTGAAACTGATTTTTATGCCATTTGTTTGTTCAACAAAATTGTAAATTATGTGACTGCATGTGCTGTGTGGATACAACTTCACTTTTAAGTCTTTGTTTTTGTAATACAGTAGTATGAGTACCACAATACCTAGCTTTTAAAAATTTGGTACATTTTCTTAAGCCTTATGGCACCATCTTTCATGTCTGTTGTAGTAAGAAGTATTTGTTTCGGCACAAGTCATGACCATGACTTCAAATAAATCTGAACAAAATGTTTAGAATGAAGATTTATTTTGTTCCACAGACTCTTATGCAGACTGTAATTTTCACTTCATTAAGCTTAATCAGTCCAGCACTTCATGTTGGACTGTCACTCTATGCTATTTTTCATTATGGGATGTTCCACTGTCTGATTTAATTTTTTATTGCAAGTGTGCTAAGTTGCTTAATGTGAAGTAATGCACTGTTGTATGAAGTACAATGTTCTTGTTACAAAATTAATAAATTTTTATTTTGAGGATGAATTTGTTTATTGCTTATTCAGAATGTTAATGCAACAATAAAGATAAAGTGCTGGTATTGCATGGCTCAGTCAAATTTGAAATACAAAATTAAGAATGTTACTGGCGGTAAAGATCAATCCATGTTTAAAACTTCATTCAGTTTTATTTGCAAGGCAGAAACTGTTCTGTTTGGCTCACTCAAACTGCATCCTGATTGTGTTAAAATCTAAACCCCATATTCTATCCATCACAAAAAAGTACACCTTTTCACCATAATAAATTGCAAGTAGTATGGCTCTGTATGTACCTCATGCACATTTTCATCACCTCCAAACTGGAACTCTATCATACTCCCCATAGTGGCTTCCTGGTCAGTTAAAAAGAAATCTGATGTCTGTTCTGTAACCACTGCCACTGGCGGTCAGTTTGCTCAATTGGCTGGACAGATGATTTGCAATGCAGAGTGATATCAATGGTTTGGATTCAATTCGCTTGCCGACTGAGATCACCATGAAGGATTCTCCTTCTCAACCTCTCCCTTCACCTGAGGTGTGGTGACCCTTAGGTTAAACCACCACTTGTCGTCTCTCTAAGGAGAGAACAGCCCTATGGCCTGGTAAGATTATGGTGTCTTTACTTGTCATTACCACCATTTACTTAACACACTGAAATTCTCTGTTTTGTGGCTTCGAACTCCCCTATCCGTTTGCAACTGCCCAATTTGTGTACTCTGCTCTTTGTTAATCTGATCTACTAATTGTCACCACCACCCCATCCCCCTTATCTTGTGTTTGTTTATCATTTCCAGTGACACCCATCTTTGAACAATAATATGGATTGGCTTGACCATGTCTTCCTTATTAGAGAACCTACTAGTAGACATTGAACCCTACAGCTAACCTAGCCCAATAATTGGAAGCCTACCATTTTTCTGGAATCGTGGCAGAAAATCTAATTTCATAACGCACAAGATTATGTCTAAGTAAGTACATATGTAAAAGGGAAGATTAGCTAAAGTAAATATTGGTCCCTTGTAGGATGAGACTGGGAGTTATGACTAGAGAATACAAATGGCAGAGTCACTAAATCAATATTTTCACAGTGGAGGACACTAGTACCATCTCAATATAATAAGTAGTACAGAGGTTACAGAAAAAGAACTTGGAGCAATCATCATCACTGTTGATAAATTACTGAGCATACTATTGTGATTGTAGGGAGACAAGTCATCAGAGCTTGATGGCCTACATCCTACAATCTTAGAAATGCATATATTTTAAGTGATAAGTATCCTTTAAACTACTTTTATTTAAGAACGTAACTAAAAAAATTGGTGGGACAGCAGAAATCCTTTGGAACAACTCTAATTTATCCAGAGTAAAGTGTTCCAAGGTACTTCATGGGAGCATTATCAAACATAACACCAGAGTAATCACTGGTCAAGGTTGCATGAATATTCACCAATATCCAGATGACTCCTGCAAGTGTTAAAATTAAATATGATGATCCTCCTCAGTAAACTCAAATAAGCTCAGATATCCAGAATGTTATAATGTTTAAACTGGTAAGACTGGAACTTGTTCAAGATGAAACATTAAGCCAAAGCCCCATTTATCTATTCCAGTGTTTCACTTGGACTTTAAATGTTCTGTGACCCTGCTTAAAGAGAAGTGTGTCAATCCTATATTCTGACAAACATTTTGGTGTTCAACTAATGGCAAACCTTCTTCCTTCAAAAATTGTGAACGAGGTCATACTAAATGGTTGTCACCTTTTGGGATTTCTGATTCTTTCAGCAAGAAGAATCTTGGTATGATTTCCATGAAAATGTTGCTGTTATGTAAAGATCTAGATTTTGAGGGGTTAAATTCAATGAACAAAAATCATAGAGTAATAGAAATATCCAGCACAGAAACAGATCCTTCGCTCCAACTCATCCATGCCAACCAGCTATCATGTCTAAATCTTGTCCCATTTGCCAGCATTTGGCCCATATCTGTCTTAAACCCTTACTATTTATTAAAAGAAACCTAGCCACTTAAGTCCTCCCCTGCTGTGATCTCCCGACATGGGTTTCTCCACGATCAGCTGTGAATTTTGCTGTTTGTTTATTTTTCTTAGACAAACTCTGATGTCCAAAGATACTTGAAACCAAATAGCAGAGGCTGTAGCTGTGAAGACTCACTGCTGGGTCAGACAGCAGTGTAGGTTTCTTTCTCTGTTGATTCACTTCCCACCATGTGGTCACCTACCTGTGCATATAATAGGACTAGACAAAGCTGATTTCAGAATGAAGCTTCCCACATCACCAAATTGAGAAAATGGTAACTGGTCCGACCTTCCTATGGATTCTCTGTACTTGGGGTGAACCTATTCATTTCAAGGTGCAATAGCTAATTTAGTTTGGAGCCAACCAACTAACCCTGGACATGAGATTTAAAGGAAACCAGGACATGAGTTGCTCAAGATTTGATTTGATTTATTGTAGTCATATGTGCCTAAGTACAGTGAAAAACTTTGTTTTCCGAGCAGTACAGGCAGATCATAGCAAACAAGGACATATTGATCAAAGGATGTTTAGACAGAGCAAGGCGTACACGTTACATTGCATAGGAGATGCGCAAAGCAAGATCAACGTTGGCAGGATCAGCATTATTTGAAGTTAGAGAGTCCATTCATTAGTCTAATAACAACAGGGAAGATGCTGTTCTTTAACCTGTTCTTGTGTGTCTTCAAGCTTCTATATCTTCTGCTTGAGGGAAGAGGTTGTAGGAGAGCATTATGGGGGTGGGAGGGGTCTTTTTTGGCAGCCTTACCACGGATTTGAGAAGTGTAAATAGAGTCCGTGGACGGAAGGTTGACTTCTGAGATGGTCTGTGCTGTGCACACAACCTTCTGTAGATTCTTACAGTCCTGGGCAGAGCAATTGCCATACGAGGCCTTTATGCACCGGATAGTCTGCTTTCTTTGGTGCCTCTGTAAAAGTTGGTGAAGGTCTTTAGGGACATGCCAAATTTCGTAAGCCACCTGAGGAAGGAGAGACATTGTTGTGCCTTGTAGACTGGTGCATCTACATGTCAAGTCCAGGAAAGGTTGTCGGTTATTGTCACTCCTAGGAACTTGACACTTTCAACCCTCTCCACCTCAGCTCCATTGATGTCGATGGAGTGTCCACCTCCTTTCTTCCTGAAGTTAATGATCAGTTTGTTAGTTTTGCTGTCATTGAGAGAGTGGTTATTTACATTGCACTATAACACCAAGCTCTCTGTCTCCTTTCTGTGTTCTGATTCATCATTTTTTGTTTGATATCTGTCCTACCATAATTGAGAATGGTTACGTGGTCATCATTAGGCCAGCTTTTTATTTTAGATTTTTTAAAAATTGAATTCAAATGTTATTATTTGCCATGGTTGGATTCAAATCCATGACTCCAGAACATTATTCTGGGATTCTGGATTACTGGCCTGGTGAGATTGCCACTGCCTCCCCTGAATATGAAATAGATGAAATATTGGACACTCTTCAATGTTGCCAATGTAACAATGGGTAGTCATATTTCTACTGTTGTCTGAGAATGAATTGCTGAAAATTGTTTGTTTTGGCTTTGAGTCTCTTGATCGTCTCTGAGCAATCTTGATTTCCTGTCGCAACACTTAGAGTGCCACGGTGGCTCAGTGGTTAGCACTGCTGACTCAGTGCTGGGGACCCGGGTTCAATTCCAGCCTCAAGCAACTGTGCAAACTCCAGGTGTTGTCCCCGTGTCTGCTTGGGTTTCCTCTGAGTGTTCTGATTTCTTTCTTCAGTCTGAAGATGTGCAGGTTAGTTGGATTGGTCATGTTGACAGGGTCCAGGGATGTGCAGGCTATGTGGATTATTCATGGGAAATGCAGGGTTACAGGAACAGGGTAGGGCCTTTAGAGGGTTGGTGTGGACTTGATGGGCTGAATGGCCTGCTTCCACACTGTAGGGATTCTATGACTACACTTCATTCAACTGGTTTATTCTATATCACAACTACCTGTTCTCTGACATCTTTGCTGCACTCGGGTTTGATTTGATCCACTTAATCCATATACATAATGTTTTGTATTTCTACTGATAAAGGAATCATTTTGACAATTGTTGAGGATCCATTCCCATGTCTACGTTGCAAGGCCAGGCTAGAGGTTGGTCCCTATTCATTTAGCACAATTATCTTGGGCATCTTCTTCAGGACAAATCTCACCCAGTTACATTCTTATACAATTTTCACTGTAATCAAATCACTGTAGCACAGTTATTTGATGCTTGCTTTTAAAAAAAGACAAAAAACAATGTAACTGTAGGCCAGTTAGCTTAAAGTTTATTATTGAGAAATGTTAATGTTTGTTATAAAGGATGTAACAGCAGAGCATTTACAAATACATAATATGATCAAATAGAGTCAATATGGCTTCACAATAAGAAATCGTGCCTCAGAATTTTATTAGAATTGTTTGAGGAGGTAACAAGCAAGATAAATAAAGGGGAAACAGTGGATGTAATATCTTTGGATTTTCAGAAGGTGTTTGATAAGCTAGCACAGGTTTGGGGACCTAATAATAATTTAAGAACACATGGTGTTGGAGGTAATATATTAGCACGGATAGAGGATTGGATAACTAATATAAGACAGAAGGGGTAAGGGGAACATTTTCAGGATGGCAATCTGCAACTAGTGGAGTGCCACAGGGAACAGTGATTGAGCCACAATTATTTACAAATATAGAATAATGACTTGGATGAAGAAATTATAAAAGTATATCCAAGTGTGTGGATGCCACAAAAATAGGTGGGAAGACCAGTCATGAGGATGACACAAAGAAACTGCTTAGTGACATAGACAGGGTACACATGTAGGCAAATTTTTGGCAGATGAAATATAATGTGGAAAAATGTGAGGTAATCCTTTTAGCAGATAGAATAGAGGAGCTGAATATTATTTAAATGGAGAAAGACTGCAGAAAAGTACAATACAAAGGGATTTGGAAGTACTTGTGCAT